AGTTGAATTGGCATAAATGATATCAAAATATTTATAAATAAAATATGATTAGCTTCAACTCAATTTTTAAGTATAAATATAATTTGTTTAATCTAAATTAATGTTACTCACATAGTTTTTTTTCTAATTAACATAAATCAAGCTTATAGTCTTCTCTTTTCTTTTATAATATAAAACCATGTAGTCGTTTGTTTACAACCGTAGTTTCGATTAGTGTGCTTTTCGTGTCTGTGTGTTCGTAGCGACATGTAGAACATCTTTAAAAACCTTTTTACTCGTTGTTTCATATGTTTGGTGTATTGTTCTGATTTAGTTGTATTGTTTGCTTCGTGTATGATTGCATAGATGCTTTTGTGGTGCTTTATGATCATGTCCAGTCGGTGAGCTTTACATGTTGATCAAGAAGGAGTTCCTTTGAAGTTTTGGACTTGAAGAAGGATCAGAGTTTAAGGCAAGTATAGCATGGGATCATTCTTGTCGTCCTATACACCTTTAATCATTTAATTCATGTTGCATGTGTCTACCTTGACTACCACTAAGGATTTTCTAGTATTTTGTTACCATGTACCTTGATTCCTATAGGTAATTGCATTGGGTAGTATGATGCTAGTGCTCAAACTAAAGCCATGATCTTGTAACTTAACTAATGAATTATCCAATAAACACTAAAAGATGCTTTTTAGCAGCATGGAACAAGGGGGCTAGAGCATTGGGCTATTTTATGATGTTCTAGATTCCTCTCCCTAAGGACTTATCTATAAGTGATCATCTGGGACTTACGGTACAACTGTGAGGGTTACATGGCTCTAGCTTTTGCTCAATATGAGGATCTTTTCTAGCTTGTTAGAGGTTACCTTTATGGCGTAAGAATGGCTTGACGAATCGGGTTTAGGACAGCCTCTACACTTATGTGTATAGGCTACGTGTCATTATGCCATTCAATAGGGTGGTTCCTATATCTATTTGTCGAGTGAATCTAATTGACCTAACTTGTTAGACGAATCTTTGAAAGATTTCTTAGTGAACCCTGCCGACCTTTCTTGGTAGTGGGTCAAGAGACTGATCACCCCGGACGAAAGGGTAAATCACGACTCACAGTAAAAGTGTACAACCTCTGCAGAGTATAAAACTGGTATATCAGCCGTGCTCACGGTCACGAGCGGCCTTGGTCCCTTACGGAATAGATGATGAACACTGATGATAAAGATGCTCACTAATGATTATTGTTTTTGCTATACATTATTTATGTTTACCTGATCATGTGTTTACATGGGCTGGTGAATAAACTTGTTGCTACTCAATTGCTAAAATCATGACTCATTAAAAGCTAATCGCAGTTAACCAGTGTCAACCTTTTGAGCCTCATGAACCCCATGTTATATTTGTTGAGTACGACATGTACTTACGCTTGCTTTAATTTTTAAATCTTTGGAAAATCCCGGATAGGTACCAGATTGCTAGAGTTTGGAGAAATTAGACTTGTGATCAACCAGTCAGTTGTCCCTGTGGAATTGGAGTCTTCGCCCAAAGATCTGAGTTGTCTTTCCACTGTTTGCTGTCTAAAGTTATATCCCTTATACTAAGTATGTTATATATTGAGCATTGTCTTTCGATATTACACTTATTTGTAGTTCTATGTGATATTTGACTTCCTGGGCTCACATATGATATGTAACTGGTTTTGTTCTTAAAACTGGGTGCTACAAATAGTCAAAGTTCTAAGACCTTGGCCTTGTCCAAACGACAAGCATTATGTAACTCGAGGAGCAATTTTACTAGAGAGGAGCAAGAACAAGACATACACAAACCGAATGTAGATCAGTTGGTTAGGTCACATTTCTTGTAGTACTAGGGTCTAGGGGCCTGTTCGGCAGGACTGAAAAATACTGTTTCGGCTGATTGTTGTGAGAGAAAAATATTATTCTGGCAGGACGTGAATAGTGATTTTGTGAGGTGGCTGGCCAGCCGGCAATCAGCCAGCCAGCCAGCCGAACACGCTCTAGGTCCCTGAGACTTGGCAAGTGTGTTCGTATTTTCTGGATTTATTCTAAGATATAATGACACTATTTTTTTATAGGTAGGTGATGTGTATGTCAAAATTGAGATATTTATGGTGACTTTGCCAATCTTGGGTCTCTCATAGATGCAAGAGAGACAAAGGCGGTGCTGACGGGAATTTTTTTTTTTGTAAAGTTAAAATTTGACAAGTAAGAGTATTATTAATAGACGATTTGTGCTCACACACCGCATATGTCGTTTCCACGGTTTACTTGTATTGAGACAACTAAAACGATGATGATATGTTGCAAAGGTTATTTATTACATTATCTCAATATTTACTTACTCCATCCGGTTCCATAATTCTTGTTATTTTAGACATTGACGTGCTTCAAAATATAGCTTTGACTATGTTTTGCTACTATATCATATACAAAACTCAACAATATATAATTTTACTAAAATATTTCTAAACTAATCTATACATGTTTCCTTTGTCTCTTCAAATTAATATCTTCAGAAGCCATCGATAGTCAAAGTTCCAAAGTTTGATTTCACGTGGATGTGCTTATTTGCCCATCCATAACACGTGGATGTGTTGCAAAAACTGTAGTCTTTGGGAGTACATGACATGGTACGTTCTTATCTGTCTTTTCTGTGCTCTTCAGTCCAATTCTCGGTTCTTCAGTTCAGCCCGCAAGGATGTGTGCTTAATTCCTCACAAGATCGATGTGTGCAATGTTGGCTAGCATGTATATTCTCTCTTTTTTCTTCATTCCTTTGAAAACTTCAACTTTGTACGGTACTATACTTATCTCGAGAAAAAAAAAGAAGAAAAAAATCTCCTCTACTAAAGATATACTCCATCTGTCGGTGCAGAAAGTGACCAACACGTAAATATTTATAGTTTTACCGTACGTCGTGATCGGATGTGGCCTAGCACTCAATGACACAGGGTTTATACTGGTTCAGGCAATGTGCCCTACGTCCAGTTTGAGTCGGTCGGTAACTTTATTCCTGAGCCCAGGTGCTCGAAGTTTGCTGTAGGGTTACAAACGGAAGGGAGAAAGATGGGGGTACAAGAGGTCCGGTCGGACTCTGGTCTGAAGGGCCAAGAGTGACAGGAGCTCTGCTATGTGCTAAGTGTTCGAGCGTGCGCTCTGTGTAGCTTGTGAGTGTCAAAAGCTAGCAGAGGGTGAATCGATGTAAGTGAGCTGAGTGTCTTACCTGATGGGAGAGAGCGCATCCTATTTTATAGATGAAGGGGATGGCCTTACAAGAGAGGACACGTATGTTAAGTCTTGTTGCCCACGCCGTCGGGTACAAGATGATTGTAGGTGCCCATAACACTGTTAATGTCAGATGCATGTGGGAGGTTTGCGTCGTCTTCTTCTGGTATGGCAGACGTCGGCGCCTGCCATACTGCTGATGCCCAAAGGCATGCAAGGGTTTTACCATGTTCGCCTGGTACGGTAAATATCGGCACCCACAACACTGTTGATGCCCAGAGGCATATGGGGGGAGCCTTACCATGTTTGTCTGGAATGGGAGTTGATGGCGCCACAATACTGTAGGGAAAATGTCGGTGCCTACAACACTGCTTGGGTCCTGACATGTCAGGAAGGTTGCAGGGCACTCTTCTGACATGCCCTGTTAGTATTGTCCTGCAGGTGTACAAGGTACGGTCCTTGGTATTGCGGTTGACTTGAATGCCCTGCCTTACTTTCTCCGTCCGTTTTCTGGTCCTCACCGAGCGGGCGTCCCCGATCGGTTGGTTCCAGTTGGCTCTGATTGCTCCAGTCGGAGAAGAGCTATAAGCAGGGTTCGGCGCATCCCCTGTCGGAGACGCGGGTCGGAGTCGGAAGTGGTGTTTGGCCAGGCCTTCCAGTCGGAGAGGCCTTCCGGAGGCGGGTTGGAGTCGAAAAGCGAGCGTTGTTCCTCCTTAGTGAGGCCTTCCGGTCGGAGAGGCGGGCCAGAGTTGGAAGCGGGCGCCGTTCCTCCTTGGCCAGGCCTTCCTGTCGGAGATTGGATTACCCTTCTTGCTTGTCCTTTAGGTTTTTGGGCCGGCCCATGAGTTGTGTGTCGTTCGCAACGTTGTTTGCTGGGCCGAGCCTTTGTTGGGAAGCCGGTCCATGAGGGACCCCGGGTTTACGAACCCGACATCGTCCGTTCTAAAAAAGAATTTAAATCTTGTTTCACGAGAAGTCAATAAATCTTAAGTTTGACTAAATTTATAGAAAATATTATATATTTAGATCTTAAAATGGATTTATTACGAAAATACATCTTATCATTAGTTTAATAATACATCAATGATTATATATATATAGTTAAAATTAAGGGCCTGTTTGATGAAATAGCACCAGTGATTAGTTAGGACTAGTGATTAGCTAACAACTGATTAGCTAACTAGTGATAAGCTCAACCCTATTTGGATCCACGGACTAACAACTAGCACTATCTCAATGTTTAGACAGATTTACCCCTGACTGATTGGTTGTGCATGCGTGGGGGGTGGGGGACCAGGGGTACTGGGTGTCTTTTTTCCAACCTTGTGAAACTTTAGCCATCACTAGTTGGGTTATGTGGACCATTGAACTAACAATTAGTTGGGGCTTTGACTAGTTATCAGTCCACCACTAGTGCACCTATTTGGATTCTTATGGACTAAACTTTAGCCAACTAGTTATTAGTTAATGGGATCTAAATAGGCCCTAAGAATCCTTGACTCATCGAGAATCGAGATTTACATTCTTTTTTAGACCAGGGAGTATTATAAAAAAAACATTAAATTTCTGTACATACATGATGCATTTCTTGGTGATGGGTCGATTGACTACCATTATTTGCTGGCAGCATAATCTTGACTGACGAACAAGACACTAAATGAGCTAGTTAGTACATGAATTAACCATGTCGGTCTGCAAGAATCGCAATGGCGACAGAAAGTCGCTGTCTTGCACCATGCATCGCATGCCATTACTGATCACTGGCGGCAACGACTAGAGGTACCTGGAGAGCAGGTATGCGCTGACGCAGGGCGACCCGCTCCACAAGCCGGAGTGCAGCCTCAGCACGGCGCGGGCCGCCTCCTTGACGGCGGCGTCACAGTCCGCCTGCAGCACGCAGCAGAGCTTCCCGACGGCACCGACGCGCGCCATCTCCCGCAGCACCTCGGGGGAGCCCGCCCGGCCGCCCACGGCCGCGAGCACGCGCACGGCGCAGGCGTCGGCGGCCGCGGACACGCGCAGCAGCCGCCGCGCCACCACGGCGACGCCCGCCGGGTGCGCCGCCACGGCCGCGCGCCCGTCCGCGCACGCGCACAGCTCAGCCAGCAGCGCCATGGCCAGCTCCGTCACCCTCCTGCCGCCGCCGCCCGCGCTCGCGGGCGCGGGCGCGGGCGAGGACGAGGACGGCGGCGCGTCGAGCTCCAGCTCGATGGCCTCGTGCGCGGCGCCGGCAATGCCATGGCCAGCTCCGTCACCCTCCTGCCGCCGCCTGCGGGCGAGGAGGACGAGGACGAGAACGCCGGCGCGTCGAGCTCCAGCTCGATGGCCTCGTGCAGGGCGCCGGCGTCCACGACCAGCGCGCGGTTCCGGCCCAGCGGGCACGCGTGCAGGAGCACCCGCAGCGCAGACCGCGTCGCGCCGGGGGACACCCTGTCGCGCACCACCGCCGTGACGGCGTGGATGAGCTCCGGCCGCAGCCGCTCTAGCACCGTGGAGCCGGCCGCCTCCGTCACGGAGTCCAGCAGACGGACCGCGCTCGCCCTCGCCGTGTCGGTGTCGCCGCCACCGGTGCCGACAGCGGGCTCGAGGGCCACCAGCACGTCCGTCACCGCGTCGAGGAGGTCGTGGGCGTGGCTATCGGCAACTACCAGCGGCCGGAGCTCGTCGCCGGAGACGGCCAGCGCGCGGACGAGATCAAGTCCGGCCTCGATGGCGCGCGTGCTCTCTAAGCTGCTGCTCCTCCCCTGGTGTCCGGGATCGGCGCTCTTGACGACCTCGCTGGCGCTCGACACGGTGAGGCGGAGCACGCGCTGGAACACACCGGCGTCCACCATGTGCCGCCGCGCCGCGTCGCTCTCGGACGCAACCTCCGCTGCCTCGCGGAGCACGTCGACGGAAGGGGAAGCAGTGGTGCACAGCAGCTTCTTGACGACGGCGGCCTCCGGCCGCTGCTGCTCTACCGCGTCCGTCAGCTTAGCCTCACCCGCCTCCGGCGGCGTGGAGGTGGAGGAAGGCGAGCGCCAGGACTGGATGAGCCTCCGGAGCGTATGGTTCGGGGTGAGGTCGTCGAGGGCGAGCCGTTGGCCGGTGACCGGGCAGGTAGCGTGGCCGGCGGCGAGCCAAAGCTCGATGGCGCGGCGGTCGTAGGTGATGCCCGTGGGCGCCGTGACGGGGTCGTGCATGGGCTGCAGCGAGATGGGGCACATCAGGTGGTGACGCATGCCGCTCAAGTCCTCCATTATTTGTCTACTGGTGGTTTCATGTCATGGGGATGGGGGGTTGCTGGTTGTTCTCTGCATATATAGGTGGGAGGGTGCATTAGTGATGCTGATGCGTATCAGGTTTTGGTTTTGACCGTTATGAAACAAGAAAAGGGCTAACCTGCCGCAACATTTTCAGTCAAAACGATTTTGAATTATTTAACTGTTCATGGGAAAAGAATGCCGATAACCTGCCGAAATAATTTGGTCAAGTATGTTTCGTGAAAACGATTTTCAGTCGATTTCACATTGGAAAACTGAGACAACAAATTTAACAGGGTAGACAAAAGTATCTGTTCAAATTCCTTTCAGAAGAGATTGTTCAATTGACAACAATGCTTCGGCTTTTCTTGGGCTGGCACACACAGGATCCTAGTACATTTTTCGATTTTACAAGGATTATAGAAATCGGCCAATTGGAACAGCTGATTCTGACGTAGATTATAGTATCCACCGCCGAGATTCTTATAATCCCAATATCTCTCTCGGTGCTACTATTTTAGATTATTGACAGGACCAACCACCGAGATCTACATCTATTTATAATCTTCTAGCAAATGTCCCCTGAGTTGGAATGCAAACATACAACTTGTTTGCCAAGTTTCAGTATGTCTTGAAATCAAAGTCCGTATCATTGTTGAATGTGTTTTTAACACCGGACTTGAAAGCGCCCGGATCGAACGTCCGGGCTCTGCCCGCATAAGGCTGGAGCGAACGCCTAGCGTGTCGGGCTCGCGAGCGAGCGCACCAGCATTGGGTCCAAGTCGCCACGGATGTCGTCCGCCCTGACCCGGATGTCGCCCACGCTGCCCCGAACGTCGTCCGCGCTGCCAGTCGCTTCCCACGCGCATCCCATGTGCAACACCCGATCTACTTTTAAAACATCCAGATGCAATAGTTGCAACAAACAAAAAAGATAAATAAAACACTTGAAACAAACGTCCGAAACATTTGCTAAAACGCCTAAGAAACATTTGAAAACCATTGTAAAAATATACAAAATCCAGATAAAACACTTGCAAACATACGTACGAAACACCTGAAAACAATTGAAACATATGCTTGCAACATCCAGATAAAAAATAATTGCAACATATGTTTAGAAACAAATGAAACATTTTGAACAAACGCTTGCAAACACTTGCAACATATGCAACATGTGCAACATCTCCCAATCTACTTTTGCAACATCAAAATAGAACATATGCTCAGGGCCTGCGTCCGGTCAATGCTGACGTACGCTGATGTGGCGGCGCACAAAGGAGACAGTGAGTGACCGGACGCTGGGTGCGTCCGGTCAATGGTGACCGGACGCGTCCAGTCGTGACTGGTACCTTACTAGAAATGATCGGGCGCTGGGGTCCTGCGTCCGGTCACAACTTAAATGTACTAATGACCATTGAGATCGGGCGATCAGTGTTTGAAGCAAGGGACACGTGGCAAGCATCGCGCGACCGGACGCTAGAGTCCAGCGTCTGGTCGATCTGACTGGCGCGTCCGGTCGCCCTGTTTTTCAGTGGACTGAGGAGCCAACGGCTCTATTTCGTGGGGGCTTCTATTTAAGCCCCATGGCTGGCTCAAGCTCACTCTTGGCCATTTGCATTGACATAGCAACCTTGTGAGCTTAGCCAAAGCCCTCCCACTCATCTCCATCATTGATTCATCATCTTTGTGAGATTAGGAGAGAATCCAAGTGCATTGCCTGAGTGATTGCATCTAGAGGCACTTGGTATTCATGTTTCGCTGCAGGATTCACTTGTTTCTCTTGGTGGTTGCTGCCACCTAGACAGCTTGAAGCAGTGAGGATTGTCGAGCGGAGGTTGGTGATTGTCTCCGGCTCCAATTGTGGTGATTGTGAGGGGGCTTGTGCCTTCCCCGGTGGAGCGCCGAAAGGTAACTCTAGTGGATTGCTCATGTCATTGAGTTACCTCACTTATGGGTAGGTTCTTGCGGTGTCCAATTGTGCAACACCTCTTAGCCGCCGAACCACCAAGTGTTGGTCAACACAACGGGGACTAGCGTGCCGGCAAGCACGTGAACCTCGGGAGAAAAATTGGTTGTCTCTTGCCCTTTGGTATTCTCTCGGTGATTGATTTAGTATTCATCTTGTGATTGGTTCACTCCTCTATATGGAGGTATAATCACCCTACTCACTCATTTATATACTTGCAAACTAGTTGTAGCAAGCTCTTTAGTGTAACTAGAATTGAGAGCTTACTTTGTAGTTTAAGTTCATCTAGTGGAGCTCTTTAGTGTAGCAAGTGTGAGAGCTCTTAGTGAGTAGTGACATAGCAAATTGTGTGTTTAGTGATCGAAGCAACTAGAATTGTTGGATAGGTGGCTTGCAACCCTTGTAGAGCTAGAGCAAGTTTGCATTTCGCTATTTATTATACTAATTAAATTGCTCTAGTTGATTTGTAGATTATTGAATAGGCTATTCACCCCCTCTCTAGCCATATTAGGACCTTACACCTCTTCCCTTCTCTCGGTCTCGGGTATCCTGTTCTCTCCCCTTGCTCTATAAAAGGGAAGGTAGGGTACCGTTCAGAAGGGGAGATCGATCGACCGATAGATCGAGCAGTAGAAGCATCAAGCAATCGAACCACACCGCCAGTTGGTGCGCCAGGTAGGGGCCTTTTGCGTGTCTTGACATCAACACTAGACCTCAGATGGCTAATCACAACGTCAGCTGGGTCCCGGGCACGCACGTGCGCTTCGAGGACCTGGACTTCATCGCCACAATGGAAGGAGAGTTGGTGCAGTCTCCCACCACCGTCCAACCTCTCCACTCCACCGGCCTCACCACAATTGCCGAGGTGCTGGAGGAGCTGCAGCTACACGCACCGGAGGCCCACGCCACCGGAAGCGATTAGCTCCTCAACTTCGACTATGGGAGGCTAGAACGCCAGCTCAGCGCCTTCCTAGGACCCCGATCGTCCTGGGAGGACCTACGCCACCTCACTTTTTCGTTCGCCAACATCATGACGCGGCTTGCCGGAGGAGAGCCGCTCTCTCCAGAATACCTCGCCCGGAGCGCCCCGACAGCACTCACGATTCTGGTGCACGAGCGTCTCGGCCCCCACCGTGACGCATGTGATGCCCTTGACACTTGTAGGCATAACGTTCCCTCAGAACAAACCAAACAAGGATGTACCAGTCCATCAGGCCCAGCAAGGCAATGGGTCGTGCACCACGGTTTCGGTACACGAGCATCTCGAGCCCCACCGCGACGCACGCGACACCCTAGATGCCCACGGGCGTGCCTACGACGATGCGAAGGAGGGGGCTAGCCGCGGCTACCATCCACGCCGTGGCAGGTGCTATGACAGCGGTGAGGACCGAAACCTGAGCCCCGACTTGACGGGACCTTAGGCTTTGGCCGCCAGACCCTCAAGGGCAAGGCAAAGCGGGACAAGGACGCCGACAAAGGTGCCTCCAACTGTCTCAATAAAAGGAAGAACAAGCGGCGGCGCAGGCGCTCGCTCGTGGCCAACGCCGACCGCAAGAGGGGCCGGAAGCCCGCAGAGGGTACCCCGGACCACTTCGAGAATCTGCTTGAAGGGCCATGCCCGAACCATGCTTTCCCCATCGAGCACCTGTACAAAGACTGCGTCCTTTTGAAGCGGTTCTTGTCAGGAAGCTCCAACAAGGGGGAGCATAGGACGGAGCCTAGCTAGATGAAGCACGCGATGTCACCCTCCTTCACTCGGCCAAGTACCAGCAAGTGTTGCGCCGGTACCACGGCCATCGAGTGCGGGGTCGGGCCTTCAATGTCGGGGACCTGGCGCTCCGCCTCGTCTAGAGTAGCAAGGACTACCATAGGCTCTCCCCGTCGTAGGGGGGATCGTACGTCGTCATAGAAATGCTCTGGCTAGGCGCCTACAAGCTCAAGACCATCAACAGTGGGGTCTTCATCAATGGCTACAACATCGAGCAGCTACGTCGCTTTTACAGTTAATAAACGCACACTTTCTCTTATTATCAGTTTCGCTGTCGAACTCCCTGATCTTTTGTGACACCCGACCCCAGCAAACAGCAGGGGGTCGGGTCTCACTCGGGGACTAATAAGAGCATATCTGTCTGGTAGATAGTCTCTATGTCCGACCCTTTCTCACAATTAAGACCCGCAAGTGAAGTTTGCGGAAATAAACCCTGAGTAAAATTGGTCAGACTGCGATAAATCTATATCCCAATGGCTACAGTGCCTCTGCTCACCAGCATAATCAGAGTTTTCTTTTCCTCACCCTGGCCTTAGCCATGGAAAGGGTCGGTACACGTTTAAGAGTCTATCCGCCTAGCAAACATTCTTTGTGCCCGACCCCCTTTCACGTTAAGACCTAGCAGCTAGGTTTGCGGTAACAAGCTTTGAGTAAACTGGTCGGACTGTGGGAAACATACGCCCCAGCGGCTATGGCATCTTTGCTCCCCAGCGTGATCCGAATTGACTCACCCTCACCCCGAGCTTTTATGACCTTAATGATGGGAAGGGTCGGAATGCACTAACCTTTTTATACAAAATGGGGAGAAGAGCTAAAAAGTTGTTCGCTATAACAAAATTTAAGAGCTTGTCCATTTATTACAAGTTCTCCACCTGGCTTATCTGCCTAACTAAATTCTTGCGCGGGATGTTCTCATCCTCTATCTTCGTAGGAAAGCCTTGTCTCAGCAGGTAACACAAGTCGATCAGACGGCTTGGTCGCTGTAGGAAAATGGGTAGGGAGCAGTAGGATGCCCCACGCGGGTTATGCCGACCCCATCACGAATGACAGACCCAGATCCCTCTCGATCATGTCCGCAATGGCGAGGGGTCGAACATCGTAGAAGTACTCTGACCTAGCACCTACAAGCTCAAGACTGATGACGGCAAAGCCATCGCCAATGCCTAGAACATCGAGCAGCTACGTCGCTTTTACCCTTAGTCTTCCCGTTCCAAAGCTTCCAATATGCTTATTAAACTAAGTAATGTTTCTACAAAAACC